AAACATATCATATTTATATTTCACAAATGTTTTGAGGTTTGTTGACTAAATTGTCTATGGATTGGAATAAAGTTCACATTCTCACTCCTTTTGTTTCACTGTTTTGAATGCCATTCTATGTGTTTAGTGGAATTTTCACTGATTTTTCAATCTCAACAATTGAAATTCCATCAATATATCCTGAATATCTTGGTGTTGCATTTGAAATTGAAGTTGAACAAGTACTTGTAACACCAGTATACATTTATTGATGATTAGGGATGGAGCCAATGCAGAGCACAGACTTTTTCAAAAACGTCTCTGGCATGCTCCATGGAAAGAGCTATGTAGACATATTCATCACTGTTATCTCACAGAAGCATATCTTGTTCAAGTCTGATGTTGCATCACTGATATAAGTCTGTGATTTCATCTGAGGCGGACATTCATCTTTGCTATATCTCTGATGGAAATATCTCTGTGATAAAACATGACACATTTGAAATGCAGCAGTGGTAAAGTTGCTGCATGTTTTTGTCAACTGGGTAATACTCTGTGTATCGTGATTGAGTTGTGTGTATCTACTTATTTTATCGTTTCACCTTGTATGATTGCTCCATCCGGTAATTATCTATTGTAGGATTCCGATTAAAATTGCTCCCGCGTACAATTTGGCGTGCATGGCCTTTATTTATGTTAAACGCAACTCGCGAGGCAATCAGCGTAATCAATTCTGTTTTTATTTATTGTCGAACTGTGCGACTGCCTCACAAATACCGAACAGATTTCAGCTTTAATCCCGTTAGCGCATTTCCATTCGTCGTTTTTCCTAACCGGATTTCACGCATCGTGTTCCCCGTTTTTCACGGATGACACAGGATAGTACGTGTTTTGCACTCACTTAATCAGTAGTTTCGTATGAGCAGCCACACTAACTTTCTTTAGAAAGAATCATTCGAACTTTTAGATGAGGAGATGAGATGTAGAAAGCATATTTCATAAGCGATAAAAAACGAAAAATAAAAGTGAACTACCTTTCGAAACTACAAACAACATTTGTGGCAACACCGCTGTGCATTGGCGAGGAATGCCAGAACCATCACCAAAGCCCACTGATTTGAAATAAACACTGAGAGCTGGAATGACTTCCGCTTATCCAAATATCGGTCCACCACCTCACTTGATCAGTAGTTTCGTACGAGCCGCTACACTAACTTTCTTTATAAAGAATCATTCAAATTTTTAGATGAGTAGATGAGATGTAGAAAGCATATTTTATAAGCGGAACTCTCCTCCTGAGGAACCATTCCAAACGAAATTGTTGGAAATAACGAAAAAGAAAAAAGAAAGAATGAACTACCTTTCGAAACTACGAACAACATTTGTGGCAACACCGCTGCGCAATGGCGTGAAATGCCGGATTTTCATCAAAGCCCACTGATTTGAAATAATTACTGAAAACTGGAATTATTCCACCTCACCCAAATATCGGTCCACCTGAGACCACAGCAAATCGAAGATTGCTTTCTCTATCTTCTTATCACTTTTGTTTGATAGTGACATCAGTCTGAAATTTGATATAACTATGGATTGAGATATTTCCGAAGTCTATATACAGTGTGGCCCACCTATGACTGGAGCACCCTTATGAAATCTATAATTTTCAACCGATTTTTTTTTTTGTTTCAGCATGAAGAGTATCGGATGATCGTCATTTGAAATAATAATACAACATATTATCGAGTTATATCATCTAAAATGGAATTTATCTTGGTATTTTTGAAAAAATTCATAAAATATAAAAGAGAAGGCTGTGTTCATTTGTTGGTTTACAGTATTGAAGAAAAAATTCGAGAGGTAGGTCACTAAGATTATAAAACATTTTCATAGCTTTTCGTAGTGCTGAATATTGGTAAATGTTGAATGTAAGTAAAATTGAAACTAATGTGTGACGAAACTACGAAACACTGCAACAGCAACAACGAAAATATGAAAATTCGTTACATGGACAATGTTGCCATATATTTACAAGGTTCATCGATAAAATATTTACTGAAAAACTAGAAATTATCTGAATTTCTCCTGATTATTATATATTTTTGGAAAGCGCGGAGCATCAATGCAATGAACATAACTTTGGGATATATCTGAATAATAACAGCTTATTCTGAAAATCTGACTAGGCCACTGGATTTAACGTAAAAAACTGTATGAGAGACAGTTTTTATTTCATCGATAAGTTGACATATACCTGGGATACAGGGAGGGGTCCCAAGGAACAATTTAAATTTTGCCTTGTATCTCGGTAAGAAAGCGTGCTACAAAAAAGTGGGAGATATCTCGTAAGGACATCGAAAGTCAAGTCTGTTTTCTTGGGAAAATAATGTATCTAAATCAAATCAAATCAAATCAAAATATACTTTATTGTCGGAAGAATGAAATTCTCATAGACAAAGTGTAGAGATTTAGTAATTTTTCATCAAGAATGCATGTATAATCACTTATGCATTAAATATGTTCATGTGTACAGAGATCCCAGGAAATAGACACGTTCACAGTGAAATTAAAAGAAGGCTACAATCATATTGATATACAAGTTGATAATTGTATATAAACACGAACAACACATTGTAACTTATTGAAAATGTAAATATAAAAATAATTATATCATGAGATCCTGATATAGGTATCACAGTCTAAAATTGAAATTTCGAAATAGTTTATCTAGTATCTAGATTAGCCTATGGATCCTCTATATTTACCTAATTTACTGAAGAGTGGCCTGAAAGAACTCCTGAACATGATAAGGAACTAGATCTAGGAGAACATTCTTCACAGATGTTCTAAATCGATTATACCCTTCAATGTCTCTAATGCTCCATGAAATATGATTATATATTTTTACTGCATTATATATTAATGAGCTCTTGATTATGTTAGTAGAGGCAATGGGAAGTTTCAAATTACCATTTTGGCGAGTAAGCCCCTCATTGACTTCATATAAGGCCTTATTCTTGAAAATCAAGCATATTGTCTCAAGTATAAACAAAGATGGAACCGTCAGTGAATTATTTTGTTTAAAAAGTGTCCTACATGACAATCATCTTGGTCCTACATTGCATAAATATCGAATGGCTCGTTTTTGTAGAACAAATATTGAATGGAAGTTTTCTTGATAACATGAACCCCAGAAGGCTATTCCTCATCTAATATGTGATTCAATTAGTGCGTGATGATGAAATTTCAATTCATCATCAATGTAGACTCCAAGAAATTTGTTCATACTCACATTGACTATCAATTCATTTCCTAAAGGAATATCGGGTAGGGCACAATGGTATGATACAAAGTTTGTTCTGTTAATTTTTTTTTTTTTTTTATTCATCCGCATCAACCAATATGGTTATTAGCGGTGGTACAATAGTATTATAGTACATTTCATATATACTCAAACACGTCTACGTTTCTGAGAAATAGTTCAAGTTTTTTAAAGTTTTTTGGGTTTAAAGCACTGGTTAAGAGTTTAGGCAACTTGGTTTGTTCTCTGTCCATTTCGAATAAAGGGCACTCTATAATTAAATGTTTCACTGATAACGGGGTATCACACGCGTAGCACATTTTTGGGGGTTCACTTTTCATCAGGTGTTCATGCGTTAACCTAGTGTGTCCTATTCTTAGTCTGCTGAGTACTACCTGGCTCCGCCTGTTGAGTCCGGTCAATGGATTTGGTGTTAGGTCCGGATTGATGTCATATAGTTTATTATTTTCTAATGAGTTCCATCGGTCTAGCCATAGTCTTTTTTCGATTATTTTCATTTCACTCTTCATGTCAGAGCAGGGAATTCTCGGTAATGGAATGGTATTTACCGGGTTACAAGCTCTCTTTGCAGCAGCGTCTGCTTTCTCATTTCCAGGGATGCCTACGTGGGAGGGTATCCATACGATTTCAATATCTTTGGTTTGAGATCTCAGTTCCTGGAGGCTTCTTTTAATATCTAATAGTATCGGGTGTTTGGGATATAATTTCTGGACTGCTTGCACCGCACTTAAAGAGTCTGTGAAGATGACTGAGAGTGGGAGGGTCATGTTTTTTGCTAATTGAATTGCCATCAAGATGGCGTATACTTCTCCGGTATAAACTGAGCATGGAGCTGACAAGTGGTACTCATGGGTTGTTGTGTTAGTTACTACGGCGACCCCTATCCAGTTACTGCCATCCATTTTTGAAGCATCTGTATAAATTAAGTTCTGCTGTTGGTAACAACTTTTTAGTTCATGGAACAGTTGTCTCCAGCGGGACGGGGAGGTATTTTGTTTTTGGTATTTGGAGAGGGTAATGTTACACTTTGGGAGGCTAACTGTCCAAGGAGGTGGGTATGTGACACTGTTTGGTATGATCGAGGAGAAATTTAAATTGTGGATAGAGATTCTTCTGCTGAATGGGGGTGTGATGTTGGGATTTTGCTCGTAGATATTGTGGAAGCGGTTAGTGAATATATGGTCGCGGGTAGGATTGGTAGGGTTGGCTGTCACTCTTGCGGCATACTCCAGGCTGAGACGGACACGTCTTGTTCGTAGAGGAGGGTCATATGCTTCCGTGTACAAGCTGTCCACTGGGCTTGTTCTGTAGGCACCTAAGGCAAGTCTGAGTGCAGTGTTCTGAATGACATCTAGTTGTCTGAGGGTGGACTGGCTGGCTGTGGAGTAGATTATGGCGCCGTAATCAAGTTTGGACCTTATAAGTGCTTTATAGAGTTGCAGAAGAGTGCTACTGTCGGCTCCCCAGCTATGATTGGCTATAAATCTATCAATGTATCACTATTAATTACACTGATTCTACAACTGGTACTATTTATTTCCAAGGATGTTCCGTTGTTCTGTTAATGTTGAAAGAGAAGAGGTTAGCATCACACCATCTTTTAATTTAATCTATTATTGGGATTCCTATAAAAAGGTGCAGTGTGATACCATAGATCTAAATATACACTGATACCCTGTATGCACTGAAATTGCATCTCAATATGCAAGAGTGTTTCGCATCTCGTCGTAAATATCATTTCTCCGATCCTCATCCACGAGTGATACAACTTGTAAGGCTACCGCCGGGTCCAGCTAGTAAAACTGTCAAGTCGCCATCGGAGACACCTGTGATACACGGCCTGCTGGATATACGGATCTTGGAAAATGCTATCCAATCCACTCTGGCGCCCAACGAGCTGTCACATCGAGGAAGGTTGTGCGCGACAGCCACACACAGCCTTCTTGCATTATTAAAAGGTGTTCGCCTAATAAAGTCGTCCAATTTCAAAGCCACAATTATGTCTGGTACATTTTTTATGGATCACGTGTGAGTTCTGATTATCGCAGAGATATGCGGGTTAACAATGATATGGGGATACGATACTTTTGAACATTAAATGAGCGGTGCAAAAAGTAAACGACTCAAGAAGGAAATATGTCAACACAGGAAAAAGAAACAAACTCAAAGTCGGTCGACCACAGAATGGGCTTGTATCACAAAAAAAATTATTTCATAATTCGATAGAACTCACCCAAACTAGCTCACCACCGCAAACCGTTTCTTGCTGTGAGCTCCCTACGTTTTATAAAAAATTATTGAAATCCCCGATTTTTCGGACCTCTGAAAACGAGGCGATGATGTGACGTCAAAACCCTAATACCGAAACAAGACTATTCCAGACAGAGATGAATGATACATGATTTCTGACAGAGTGAATTAGCGCGAGATCACAGTTGAAAGAATTAATATATCAGTTGCCTCAGTCTCCGTCGAACGTTTGGTATTTTCTTTTAACTATGACGAGATGAGGTTTCTACGTCATAAGAGGGCCCGTTTTCAGAAGGTACTATTATTCATGTCCAAAAATAAAACATTCCAGTTACTTTTTCGATCGAATTATGTCGTCAATCATTATTTATGTATGAAAGGATCATTATAAACATGGTTTGAGTTAAAAGTTCTACTGAGGTGTGCACGTCCATTCAATATAAAACATTCATGTGTGATGTGTGTGACTAGTTTCGGCACCATGGCCATCTTCAGACACAATAATAAGGAAGAAGTACCTGTAAATCACAAAGATCTTGAATCTGAGACAATATATCAGCCGAGAAAGTTCATACGTTTTTTTGAAGTAATTGTTTTGATAGTCTGGATTATCATTTGCATGATCGTTTTCACAATTCAGGTAGATGACTGAGATTATAAAACATCATCTACTCGCCTTCTTTTCATAGCCACCTACTAATCGAGTCCACAGCTTTCATAGTCAATAAATAGTGCTGAATATTGGTGAATGTTGAATGTTAGAAACACTGTAACAGCAACAAGGAAAATATGAAAATTCATTACATGGACAATGTTGCCACATATTTACAAGGTTCATCGACGAATTATCTACTGAAAAACTAGAAATTATCTAAATGTATGCCTAATACCTGAAATTCCTCATTATTTTATTGTTATATATTTCTGGAATGTTTCAAATATGAGCAAATATACAGGGTGTTCTATCTGAAGAAACATAACTTTGGAATATATTTGAATAATAAAAGCTTATTCTAGAAATCTGACTAGGCCACTGGATTTTACGTAAAAAAAAATTACGAGAGACAGTTTTTATTTCAAGAAGAAAATATGTCAAAAGGAGAAAAAGAAACAAATTCAAAGTCGGTCGACCACTAAATTTGATATAAAATATTCATGTGTGATGTGTGTGACTAGTTTCGGCACCATGGACATCTTCAGACACATTAATAAGGAAGAAGTACCTGTAAATCACAAAGATCTTGAATCTAAGACAATACATCAGCCGAGAAAGTACATACGTTTTTTTTAAGTAATTACTAAATAACAAAACATTTTTGAAACCGGATGTATATAGAAATATCAGTCCGGTTCGAGACTAAGTGGCTTTGAAACGACTGAAAAGCCAAAAGAACTTAACTAGGAGTAAGTTCAACATCGGTAAGTGAATTTAACGAGAATTAATAAGAATCTACCCAAAGAGCTTCATCTATATATATATTCGAGGCAAGCTATTTTTTGCATTGTACAACTTCAATTTAACTAGTTATGACTTCAATTCTTGGTTTGATTCTACTCGTTTTTCATAGTCGGTTTCCATTCTGACAAAAGTCAAATCAACATTTATAATTATGCCTCTCCACCTATGTCTTTTCTTTTGATGGCTTGTCTCGAATGGAGATAAAGCTCTTTGAGTAGATTTTTATTAATTCTCGTTTAATTCACCCACCGATATTGAACTTCCTCCTAGTTAAGTTCTTTTGGCTTTTCAGTCGTTTCAAAGCCACTTGGTCTCAAACCGTACTGATACGACTTGTTCTGCGAATTTTTGATTATTCAATTATTACCTACTTCAAAGAAAGGTGCACTTTCCCAGCTGACATATTGTCTTAGATTTAGGATCTTTTCAATTTCCAGGTATTTCTTCCTTACTATTGTGTCTGAAGATGACCATGGTGCCGAAACTAGTCACACACATGAGTGTTTAATATCAAATTTTGTGGTCGACCGACTTCGAGTATGTTTCTTGTTCTCCTTTTGAACAATACTGGACCACCTTGAGAATGGATGGTGTACATGACTTAAGAAAATATGTAGTGTATCTGAGTTTTCATAATGGAGTTGAAGTACTCATGCATCGTACGTAGACGTTAACTTACAAAAACAACGTTCTTAAATTTAGTTGAATTCGTCGGTGTTATCGTAACGTGATAGTCAATTTTGTTGTCTTTGATGCAGAACTCTTTGGGGATCCTGACTTTGATGATCTTGACCAGTCTTGACTCTTCTAAGTTTACGTTAACATGCATGACATCACTTTAACTCTCTAAAGGTGTTATGAATCAACGTGTCAATGATCGAGGAAAACAAACATGAAAATTTCAAGGAAGTAAATTTGGTTTTCTCACTTCAATCATCCATTTAGCATTGATCACTTTTGGGTCATAAACACGTCATAAACAACCGAATCAAACTCAGCCATTTCGGAAGACTTGATGATGTTTAATTTTTTAATGATGGACACATCACGTTTCTGTAGATCCCGGATAGCAATTTTATTGTTCCAATCATAATATACCAATGAGAATTGGCATCATTTTTGCCATTTTATTCTACAATTCACGAAATATACTGCTGCGGAAGCTGCACCACTACGGCTTCACATACAATAAGCTCCAATGGTTCAAGACCTGCCTGACCGGTCGTCAACAAGTTGTTAAAATGAACACTACCGCGCAGATAAATCATGGTGTGCCCCAAGGATCAGTCCTAGGGCCAATCTTATTCCTCTTATATATTAATGATATGGTATTTCTTGATATAAAAGGCGAAATCACGTTATTTGCGGACGACAACACTATTCTAAGGCATGATAATGATGATGAGAGATTATACACGAATGTGATGCGAGATATAAAAGTAATGAAAGATTGGTGTGACTCAAACCTACTTTCTCTAAACATTAAGAAAACCAATATTCCATTGTAATGTCCCAAACTTGGAAATCGGTAATGACATATTAGAAAATAGAACATCAACAAGATTTTTAGGTTTGCATATCGATAACACGTTGATGTTCAATGACCATGTAATATCTATGTGTAAAAAGCTAGCATCTGGATGCTATGCCATCAGAACAATTGCCTCTGAATCTGCATCTGCCAGAACAACATACTTTGTCCTACTCGAGTCCCACCTGAGATATGGAATAGCGTTCTGGGGAAGCTGTAGTAACCAATTATTTCAAAGGAGTTTTATGTTACAAAAGAGAGCTCTGAGATATATGTGCCATGTGCCATACATAATTATATATTTGTGATATCCTGAGTTATACCTCCGATTGAAAATGTTCGTAAGCAATTTTTCGACCTCATAGTTTCATTGAGATAGTTCATCTCAAATATGTGTTTTTTCTTGCCAATCTATTTCAGACGTTGTTTCAGGTATGGTTTCAGAATAGAAGAGCCAAATTTCGCAAGCAAGAACGTCTAGCTCAGCAGAAAGCATCGAATATCAACTCCGAGAGTCCCAATCCCAGTAGCAATATCAAAGCTGAAAGCAACGGGACCACCAAGCATTCCATGAGCAACAACAAAGACATAAAGCCGGGTTCACCACATTCCAGCGTTTCCACCACCCCGAATTCCAACACCAGCAGTATATCGAGCCACCATTCGACCAACGGTGGGGATGTCAAACCAGTCAATGGACATAGTGGTAAGTCCGTAAAAAGGTCGCAAACTTATAGAACTCTCACATGCTTCGAGAAGAGAGCCAAAAAAGTACCAATCAGACCATCAGAATGAGTAATAGGCAGTATCATTAACTTTCTGTGTCGGCTAAAATCGGTAAAATTAGGGCGTATCAACATAGTCAGTCTAATGGTTAAAATATTCCTCCTATATACGACTAATATTGTAAGTGATGAATATTGTACATAAAACAATGTCAGTAGCCTAATGTTCTCTTGAAATCGTTTCATCACTAGCAATAACGATTTCGAAAAGCTTAGCACATTTTTTTGTCACCAACCTCGGGATATGTCGCTGTCAATGAAGATCTTGCAAAAATTAGAGCCTGATGAACCATCAGCCTGTATTTTTTCTAGAAAGAGGGAACTCAGTATTTCTATCAGCAATACTCATTCATGGGATAATCTTGTCATGGCTGCCTCGGAGTCATGGAGTCACGAAAAACCAACCGCTTAAAATTTTGAAATGGCGGCTGGGCGCTGTCTAGAGATATTTTTTTAATAATTCTGAACAGTTTCCTCTGATACACTTGACTCCTGAATTCAATTAGTTTTCGAAATATTAACGTTTGAAAAGTGACATTTTGAATGTTGCTTCGGTTAAGTTTGCTCTGGAAATCATTCGAGTTCGCGACAAAGATTGTTTTCCAAAGGAATCTTGATTGAAAGCAACATTCGAGTTTTTGGTTGGGTTTTAGATGACCAAAATGTCAGTTTTTCCATACGTTGATATTTTGAAAACTATCGAATATAGGAGTAAAGTGTAAATAAATGAAACTGTTGAGAATAATGAGAACGAGTTACGTATTTCATGATGGCGCTGAGCCATTATTCAATATTTGAGCCCTTCAAATGTCGTTGTGATATACCAAGTGGATCAAAACTTGGTAGGGGGGATCAGACTCAGATTCTATCCAGAAAAGGGCCATCGCCTGGTGGATGATGCCACTTTGACTAACTCTTTGACATCATTGTAACATTTATTTTATAACTCCTAATTTACAATTGCAGCTGTGAATCAGACGTGCAGATTAAACATTCTCAGTTTCTACTGTTGCAACTGAAAATTAGGCGCGAAGATTTGTGAAATGGAAAGCTGTTTTAGTATGTAAGTTCAGAGCCGTCAAAAGAAGAAGACGTTCTGAGATTATACACTCACCCTCAAACTTGAATCTCTGATATCAAAGGATTGTGAATCTTTGGTTGAAAGAAATATCATTTTCGAATTACAAATATTCAGCTTCTTATTCTTAAATTTCGAACTCAGGGTTCTTCTGATTAAACAATTGGATATTATTTTTCAGTTCCTATTATTCCTTACAGTTGGGTAATCATCCGAGGGTTGTTTATTGATGTTCGGAAATTTTGACCAAGTTTCAGTTATAATTACAATTATTATTGCCTACATAAGTGCAATCATGCTATTGACATTATTTCCCTCTGAGTACATGATTCTAAAAACTCTTTAAATTTTTGTCCAATGAATTTTAGAGGATTCTAGTTTATACCATTGCTCATGAGTGAACAGAAAATATCATCTGGAGTTAAAATCAATGAGATCTTTCATCTGTTTTCATTTTCAAAACACATAAGGAAATCGTTGAAAGTGTTGACACAATCGACTAAGATGTTTTTCTTTCAGCATGAATGAAGTATCAATATCAAATTTCAAAATATTATCTGTTTGAACATACTACATTGAAGTATAAGGGTATTCTCCCAATATATCAAAGGTTCAAACTCATAGATGAAATCGAAAAATTGATATTTTGAATTCGTTTTTTCCTTCTTCTGTAAAATTAACTTTTTTGCATTTGCGTCATTATTATTCTGGGGCAGCGTTATGACCTTCAAAAAAATGCCAATATCTACTTTCCCTCTCTCTCTATGCCCTCTAGTTACGTACGGTGTTCGTAAATAAATAGATAAAAGGTAAATAAAAAACATCTGGAAACTCGTATTTATAGTATCTTCGGTAATTATTCAACTTGGACAAATGTTTAAAACCTTCACGTTCAATCAAGTTTTCCAAGATCATTGTAGGCTAACAATAACGTAGCAACTGCAGCGATCTTTTTCTCTAAATATTATGATAGACAAGCTAAAATTGGCACGGTTTATTTTCGCGTTACGTTCAGAGGTGATGCATCAAAATTTGCCGTTTTTATGGAATCGAAAGAGACAATATTATTTTTATATTCGGATGATAAATCTAGATACCATCTGGCGAGCATCAAAATGTTTCATATGTGTTATTCATTTCCAATAGCTGAGAGATACCCGCCTTTTTGTCCCTCTCACAGTGCCGTATTCGTAATCCAACCCTCACCACCACTATTTACTGTCCAACATGGAATTGAAAAAAAAAACATCTTCATGGTAATTGAATATGAAGAACAGCTTGAGCTGAATTTGTTCTAAATTGTTTTAAAAATGTTGGAATGATGGGGACCTTAACTTTTCACATGTGATGTCAAACGCTTTCTTGGGCCATCAGAAACATTTCTGCAGTCCTTAGAATTTGAACCCACGACTGGCACGCCTTCGTGATGAGAAAACTGACGCTTTCATCACGCGGTTACCTGACCCCTAACCTGTGGCTTTAAATTTTGTTGTTGTTTCTATACTACAGCCATTTTTCCTCGAAGTTAATCACACAAACCGACAATAAGTTGAGCAGTCAATTTTTCTTGAAGTGTATTCCAAACTATATGACGTAATAATCAAGCAACTACACGAACTAGATCAGGAAGGAAGTTAACGGATTCTGATTGGGCACTAGATTGGGCTCTTGTTGTTGTTCTTATAATATGTGGTTATATAATTGATAAGAAGAAATAATTAGAGTAATCAAAGAGATAATTATGGATTCATACGAAGTAATTTTCAATGAGAGATCTCCTCATATAATGGGGAAGACCACTTATTTTTTGAAACGACATTATCGTGAACTCTATATTGAAAAACTACCAGTGAATTAATTTTGAATTTTTTTATTCATGCTAAGACGGTGAAAAAAATGAATTAGAATATATCCATTTCAAAATACACAATTCCTGTGCCATTTGAAATTTCGTCAATTCATTGGTGAGACTGGTGCGACGTCTTAGTCCCAACACGCCTATTGTCCTTGAACTCACCAATCACACTGCAACACTGCAGAATGACGAGGTATCAGAGAGAGATAGTCTCGGAGATAGCTACAGTGCGGGACTAATACGTCACAACTCCACCATCATATTTGGCTTTTCGAAATAACGAATGAAATATGCTGATTTCAAAACGATATAGATTCGATTCCCTTTCAACTTCAACTCATAATATTGATTGTAGATCAAACGTAAATCATGATTCGTCGATTGAAAGAGGTTTGCACGGATTTCTTCCCTCAGTGGTCTTCCCCATTGATGAAAATGAATATGTGATCCATTGTGGATGAGTACGTAGCTAGTTGAACCAATTTAATTGTATTTGAATTAGAAAAGTGCCTAGTTCCTATCAATGATATATTTTTGTTACAGATGATGAGTTTCTTCATTCAATATATTAGTATTACTACTAAAACCAAATTATAAACAAAAATATCTGATAAACTGACATCTGTCAAGCTTCACAAGTAAACCGTGACGTCATCATGAAGTTAACCAGGTTAGTCTGGTTAGCTTCGAGGAAAAATGACTCCAAGATAAGGAGGGTCAGTATAAGCATCTATACTAGAGATACAGATTTGGTCACATATCAAAAATAATGCACATACATAATCTAGAATATCAATAACACTTCAAATAATTTTATCTCTTATCTACAATATCTACCCATACTTGACAGAAATGGAATCTTCTTGTAATGTTCTTCCTGCTAAAGCAAATAATATTTGTTACCTGATGGTAAACAAATAGCATCAGTTATTTACAGTGGTTAAAACCTATATCAGACTTACAATTCACCAATTGATCGAAATTATTTTAATACACAGCCTTCAATATTTGTCTTCCGTTGATGGTAAAAGCTAGTTTTAATGTTGTACTTCATACAGTGCCTGTATACCCCATGCTTGAGTGTGAGTTTCACAACTGAATTCTTCCAGGAGGGGTGAAAGAACTCACAGTCACAACTCCACCACATAAACAATTTAATAATGACCAATGGTCATGGACGAAGTGAGGACATGTTTCGAAGGATTAATCCTTCATCATCAGCAAATGTATCAAAAAAAAATCTGTAAGAAGAAACAATGCTTCTGTTAGCTTTGAGTATTGATTAAGAAATCTAAATGTACCTACCATTATTGGAGATTTATTAATCAATACTTAAAATTAAAATAAGCATTGTTTCTTCTCACAGATTTTCTTTTGATACATCTGCTGATGATGAAGGATCAATCCTTCGGAACATGTCCTTACTTATGTCCATGAACGTTGGTCATTAATAAATTCTTTATGTGGTGGAGTTGTGACTGTAAGTTCTTTCACCCCTCCTGATTTATATCATCTCCACTGTAAGTTATATACATGATCTTGTTTTCTGAATGTGGAGGTGAAAAATATTAAAAAAGTGAAAAAAAAATCAAATGTAGATATAAATGTAAAATATTAGCTGTTGACATGAATAAGCACTGCAACTACATGCTTACAAGAACCTGATTGTTCAGCTTTACAAGATCAAACACATGTCCAATCGTTCACTGGATTAGTCGGGCATAAATTGACTTCATGAGGCAACAATTTCAGAGCAGCAGAAGTTTATAAGACCAGCTCGAATATCTCAAGTTTCTGTACACTTTTCTCTTGACACAAAATATCATTTCCAGGTATACCTGTTTGACTTTTACCATCGGCCAATTCCTATAGGTATCGATATATTCGAAAATGTCCATCAAACTCATTCCAAAAATCACTCTAGTCACTAAAATTTTGAAATGTAAATGATTGTTTCTCACTGACAGCTTTGACAGATATTACAGCGC